CCCCTCCCCATTCACAGGCGTCTACTTTGACGACGGTCAAACGGGTTAAAAGAACAGAAATGTGATGACTAAGCAGTGCAGATTCTATCAGACCTTTCAGCACACGTATGGTGCCACAGAGCCATTTGAATAAGAGATCAGGCTATTGCCGATAGTGACGCGACAAATGGCGCAACAGATAAGGAACGGTCAACGTCCATTTGTGCGCAATGATGACATTAGATGAAATATTTACTTTGAAAAACTTGGCAGGAAATAAACAAGGAAATGTTATTAAGCTAAAAATCAACATATAGCATTTGTACAAAACATTCAAGGATCCTTCTCAGCCTCAAGATTAATTCGATCGCCGAATTTGGCATAAAGCGTCCTTTTCAAGGTCTCCATTTCGCTTTGAGATGACTCATTCTGTGCCTGGAAACCACAATAACATAGAACGTAAGACATCATACTTATGCTCAAGCTCTTAAGGAGAGCCCATTTCACCAGAATCGAGAAATTTTTCAGCGAGAGCAACTCCTTACCGTCAGCTTTTTGATCGTTTCCTCTGTGGTCTCCTTCAGCTGTTCAAGTTTGGTAGCCATGGTATCCTAAATGTTCAAAGAATCCTCTATCTGGACGATAAAACGGATAAAAGGGCGCACTTCGGTGACGGGAGGGGGGTGGGGGGTGAGCATATTGCACTTTCGCTACTTCACTATTTCTTGGACGTCTACAGCGGTGAAACTGAAGCTGGAGTAAGCTCATACAGCCACCATTGTAGAAACTCACAGATCTTCACTTGACGACTCGACACGTTGTTAAGAAATAGCAAAAGTGCAAAATGCCCCCTCCCCGTCGCCGAACTGCGTAGATGAAAGAACCTTGACCGAATATTAAGAAGGTTTAATTCATTAAGGAAAAGTGTTCCTAGAAACCAGAGCGAAAATCATGATTTCAAAGGCAAATGATCTAGAACTAGGAAAACCAGTTACATCGAAAGGTCATCACAAATGTTGAGAAATTCGTGGAAGATCAAATACGTGTACCTACAGAAACGAAGACAAACCACTGTTTCTACTGCTTCGTAACTCAGGTTTCTTAAGATGGAACCGCGCCGCCGGCCGGCGTGAGTGAGGGGGGGGGGACATTTTGCACACTCGCTAGCTCTTCTACTAGTTCTTGTTGATTACACGTCACACCTTGCTGAGACATGTAGCATCTTGTCAAGTGTTAACGAAGCTCATGCAACTGCAAAGCTCTACAGGAGTTTACAGAGCTCCATAGCGAGGCATCGGTATTGATCGCTGGGGACCATAAAAATCACCTCACCAAGCCAAACTGCGCCTGAATCGATTCACTTGACCAGTGCTCGGTCAGGTTAGGCAGCGTTCAGACTTCGCGACGGCAGCGCGTTCGACGCGATCGATGCAGTGAAAGCATGCGCATCGATCGCGCCGAACGCGCGATTAAAGCGCTGCCGTCGCGAAGTTGAACGCTGCCTTATCGTAGTCAAGGACCTAAGCAAGGTTCACCATACTTAACTTGTAGTCTACCCGGTTATGCGCCGTGGCAAAATCAGAAGATATAGAAGACATCAAGGGAGGATCCAATGGACTAGGATCAACATAACAAACTTCGAAAAAAGACTGAGAGAAATTGAAAAAGTTCTAAAGTCAAAAAAGGAAACTCTACTCTGAGAATAGGAATGCCCTTCACAGGTTACTCAGTTCAAGGCTGAGAAAAATAAAAGCCTAGAAGTTAATCAGAGAGGATGGTAGTGTCAGATCTAGAAACAAGGATGAAATGAGGGAAGCTTTCAGCAAACGGCTTTGCTCAAACGTATCAGACAAAGATGATTTTGATAAACTGGCGATGACCCCATCGTTTTCTATGCTGGATGGTTCGCTATTGTTTTACAGTGATGAAATACGCAGGTTGCTGAGTGAGCGGCCGAACTCCATTCGGATACACCCGATTACATCCCACGTCATTAAGAAAGAAATAAGGATATCAAATCAATTCCAACTTCTCTTACAAAAATGTTGGCATTGTACGTTAATTTTCTTATTCGCTGCTTTTGCCGCGAGATTGTTCGGTGGAAAGCTTCATCCAGTCAACGCGCTAGCCTTTCGTCTGTTCGGTGGAAAGCTTCATCCAGTCAACGCGCAAGCCTTTCGTCATTCCTCAGTCAGCAAATTAGTAAGTAAGCAAGCGAGCTCTTACTTACGCTTACCTACTAATGTGCTAAATGACCTAGCGTAGCGCCAAACTTGAGTGGTAGGGAACAAGGCCTTCGAAACTGACGAAAAGGTCTAAACGTAGGTCGATTAGAGTAATACACCTAAGAACCTCAGGATAGAAGTATAGAAACCGTAAAACATTAGTAATCGTTTTTTCAGTACACGGTTATACGAATAAGGCGCGAAATATCCCTTAGGAAGGGGGCCCTTAAAAAGCATGGCAATGGTGTAACACCAGTTCAAACCGTTCTTTGCGTTTATACTTCCCTGCAATTCCTTCGAAGTAAGCGACGCAACCGGAACCCACAAGCACAAAGTTAGATACGT